TCTGCCTTGTTTTATTATTTGATCCATATTGATCAAACAGTTCATGAACTAAATTTGACAAAAATGCTGGTAGGTGCTATTAAAATTCATTATTATGTATTATGTTTATATATAACTAGAAATAAGTAGAAAATATGTAACTTTACAGTCAGTTTACATGTAAATGCTTCAATTTATTCAATCATTGCAGGTTTTGATACCGTTATATGTAATACTGTGCCTTACTAATATATTCACTAATATGTTTATTACCAATTTGAAGTGAGTTCGTGTAACTACATTTTTCCTACTACTTCTCATCTCAAAACAAAAAGTAACCTTGCCTTACAATAGTCATATCTGGAGTAATATTTGTATATATTATATATGGATATATTTATACAGTATTTGGGTGTATATTTGGTATTTTAAAACAGGGTCTCTCTATAGCCTCAGCTGACCTGGCTTCACTATGTTGACCAACAGACTGACCTTGATTTCACAGAGATCCCTCCTCTGCCTTGCAAGTGCTGGGATTAAAGGTGTGTGCCACCAAGCCCAGTTTCAGTAAGGTATCTTTTAAAAAGAATTATTAAATAAAATATCCTTAACGTTGGTGACATATTTTCCTAATATCCAGAGAACAAGATTAGTAATAATAAAATTTGAGACAGGGTCTTACTATGCAGACCAGGCTGGCCTCAAACTCACAGAGATCCACATGCCTCTGCCCCCCTAGTGCTGGGATTAAAGGCTTATACCATCATTTCTTGTTTAGGAGTAGTAATTTCTTATTTTCTAAAGTTCTTCATTGTCTACAAAATTATATGATACTTTTTCCCCTCTAATAAGTATAAAGAAAGAGAATAGCTACAAATTACTTTAAAATATAAGTTTAAATAAGGTTTGATGTTAACAAAACCACAAGATAAATAGGTATAAACTTGTGAAAGTAATTATATCTTTTGAGAAATTAATAATATAAATCGATTTGCCAAGATTTTCACTATAGCTTTGCTTTCTTTTTCAGAAAATATTTTTATTTATTATTTTTATTTTATGTGTATGAGTGTATTGTCTGCATGTGTATAAGTGCACCTGTGATCTGCAATGCCTACAGAGGTCAGAGGAAGGTGTCAGATCCCCTGGAACTGCAGCTACAGATGGTTGTTAACCACCATGTGGGTGCTGCAAATCAAACCTGGGTCCTCTGCAAGAGCAGTCAGTTCTCTTAACCACTGAGCCATTCCCCCAGCCCCAGCATTATTTTCAATGGTAAAAAAAAAAAAAATTGGAGACAATATTAACATCTATTTCTAAGTCAGAATCATCTTGTGTTTAATCAGATAATGTCATGCTTTAGATCATTTAAATGACATTAACTGACCTATATGTAAAGATAATAATTGAGCAAAAATAGGTTGAAGAACTCAATAGAGTCATATGAAATATATGGTTATACTAGCTGTGGAAACTAAGATGTTGTAAATGGATGAGACACTAAAGGTAATTATTGTGAGGAAATTCCCTTGAAGTGAAAGCTAATTTACTTTTTTTTTTTTTGGTCTTTTTGAAACAGGGTCTCCCTGTCTGGCTGGATTCACTGTGGAGACTGGCCTGGATGGAGCTATGGAGCTGGCCTGGATTTGCTATGGAGACCAGGCTGGCCTCAAACTCCCAGAGATCTGCCTGCCTCTGCCTCCCAAGTGCTGGGATTAAAGGCTTGCGCCACCACACCTGTACTTTATTTTGCTTTTTAAGTTAGCAGAATCATGACAGAAATAGAAATTAAACTGAATTTGTGATTTATTAGTACAAAAATATTTTATTCCCTCCAAAATGATATCTAGCAAATATGAAAAATGTTAATATTAACAAAATTCAATGGGGGGTTAAGTTACATTTTTATTTCCTACATGTTTAAATGATTTGACGATATAAACAGTCAACCCAATGGATATTTTAGTTCCCTTCCACTCTATTAACAAATGGCCTATTTTCTATGAATCCAGAGATATTACAAATACAAGATAAAACCTTGGAACTACAGTGAACCATGCGCATGTGTTAAATACTCAGTTACATTGTCTGCATTTATTATTAGTTAGAAAGTCATGTTCTGAGTGATACTTTCTCATGCTGTTGTTGTCATACACTGTCCTCTTTCAGATAAAATCATCACTCCTTACTGTACGGGGACCTAGGCTTTGACATGAGGTTCTGGCGATTACCCCGGGCATAACTGAGCCAGCTCCCCTTTCTAGGTAGAGATATTCGTCTAGCAAAATAATATAAGTTCCCTTTTCCTAAACTAACTGCACTTTGAAAGTCAGCTACACCAGATTTTTGTTCCTATCTAGAATAGGAATGTTCTGCATTACCCAGGCTTTGGAAGGACTCTGAAGAGAATCTAAGGAAACCAAGGAGCTGTTACACTAAATTTATGACACTGGTTTGAAACTCAAAACAGACAAGGGCACTGAGGAGTCAGAGCAATAGCTTGTTTAAGAACTGTTGCTCTAAGTCCTTCATTTGCAACTCAAGGCCTGAGGGCTAACAGCATTAGCTGTACCTGGTGATTGTTTAAAGATATTTAAGATAGTCTTTGGGCTTTCTGCAGCAGAGCTTCTGGCTTAACCAATCTAAGATTCTTCATCTATGAAACTATGGGAGCAAGTCTACATCATACTTCTGCACTAATCAAATTTCCTGTAACTAAATACCTGATCTGATCAGCTTAGAAGAAAGAAGGGTTTGTTTTGGTCATAGTTTTAGAGAGAAGGGCAGGAAGGTTGGGCACCCACACTCCAATCTGATGAATCACATGACTTAGACCTACTTGCCTCTCAGCTGCCTCTCAACATTGGCAAGTTGGAATTAAACTAACCTCCCATCTTTGACTAACATTCCAGATCAAAAACTAGAACATGTTTGAACTCCAAAATTATCATTCTTTTAAATTCATCTGGAATTCTTTTAAAGAAAAGATTTCTAAGCCATCTCATGTTATCTAATGTTGCAATTCTAATTTCATAAACCTAAAGAAATATACTTCTGAGAGTTTGTAAAGGTTATGTCATAATTCCATCTTCACCCATTTGCATGCAAGTATACTGTTCTAGAATTCCTCTTTCCTTTCCCCTCCTCATTGGGGCCCCACCCATCATTAACACCTGGACTCTAACCACTGAAGGGCATGCTGAAAAATAATGTATGTTTTCCTAAAATCCCATTGTCCAAAGAGTTTATCAAATTGTTTCAATTACTGCCTATGTATTATCTTTTTTCCTCAATAAAATTAAATGAAAAATCATGCCATGTTTCTTTCCTTCTATAATATGATTATCTAATTGTGTAAGTGAATTATATAGTCTAAAATTTTTTCACTAATCTCACAGGATTATTAATTAGAATGAGCCTCCCCCTGGTTCTCCTCCATAGATGCTCACAGTTGTTCTGCTTCTTACATACTTAGTAACCTCATAGTCAGCTAGGGTTTGGGTTCTTCTTACTACATCTCTGAAACCTGAATGGCTCAAGATAAAGCTGCTTAAAAATAGCACAGAAGGGGGCTGGAGAAGGCTCAGAGGTTAAGAGCACTGGCTCCTCTTGCAGAGGACCCAGGTTTGATTCCCAGCACTTACATGGTGGCTAACAACTGTCCATAACTCCAGTTCCAGGGGATCTGATGCTCACTTCTGACCTCCACAGGCATTGCATGACACGGGTGTACTTACACACATACAAGCAAAACACACATACAAAATAAATAAATAAATAAATAAATAAATAAATAAATAAATCAATTAATTAATTTAATAAAAATTTGGGGACTAGAGAGATGGTTCGGTGGTTAACAGTACTAGCTTCTCTTGCAGAGGACCCTGGTTCAATTTCCAGCATCTACATGGTGGCTAAAAACCATCCATAACTCCAGTTCCAGGGGATATGACACCCTCTTCTGGCCTCCATGGACATTGCATAACGCAGGTGCATTTACACATATGCAGACATACGCTTATACACATTAAATAAAAATTTAAAAATAGCACATAGGATTTGAGGATTTAGCTCAGTGGTAGAGCACTTGCCTAGCAAGTGCAAGGCCCTGGGTTCAGTCCTCAGCTCAAAAAAAAAAAAAAAACCCAAAAAACACGAGTACAGAAACCCTCCAGAAAATTCCTTGACCTCTAAGCATTCATATGCCCAAACCAGGCTTCTCATATTTTTGGCTCATGGCTTGTCTTAGTCACCATTACATCCTAGTGTTTCATATATGGTTGGTATAGAAATTAATTATGAACATTATTTCAGCAAACTATGCAAGAACAAAAATATTTGTAAAATAGACAAATGAGCTTGTAATAACATTTGGATATGCAATTTTAATCAGCAGCTCCCATATGCTCTTAGTGGAATTCATATATTTTGCATCATTCAAATAATATATACTCACTCTAGAAAACCTGTATTAGGGGCCAGTGAGATAGCTTAGCAGGTAAAGGCACTTGTCATAAATCCTCATGATCTGAGGTGGTTATAAACAATGATATGATAAAAATACCCATCATAAGTGTCTTTATCCAAGTATTGCCTTAGAATAAAAATCAGAAAGCAAGATAATTAATTTTAAAAATTGCACACAGTTTTAGAGCCTGTTATTGGAAGAATTGCTCAATAGATCCTCAAAAGTTTATAGTATTAGGGCCAGAGTGGTGGCTCAGAGGATAAAATACTTGCTGGTCAAGACTTGCAACCTGAATGTAATCCCCAGAACCCATGAAATTGGAAAAAGAGAATCGACTGCTGAAAGTTGTCCCTAACTTCCGCATGTGCATCATGGCACATTATGCCCACGCTCAAATATGAATCATACATACACACATTTAGAACTTTCTAAGACTATAATATGTTTTTAAGAGCTAAGCATTAGCTTTATTCTGGGCTATAACATTTATTAAAGAGTCACATAAATTAGACTATGCTATAACGCACAACTGATACTGTTGGAAAATACTCACGTTCTTTTTGAGGACAAATTTCAATCTGGGGAACTTTGAATTCATAATATGGTATCTCATGTTTGAATACAGATGTAAGAACATCATCAAGTTCTTCAATGTTATTCTGTTTGCAAATGAAAAGGAAATTTTAAATTAGCTTATTTATTTAATACCTATCAAAACAGTAAGAATTACTATCAAGAGTAAATACTGGGCAATAGTCATACTTGTAAGTTTTTGAAAAAATTAATAAAAAACACTAAGGATTTATTTAAAAACAAATTTCTAAGATAAAGGAAATATTGATGTAAGAAAACAAAAATTATTGCTCTTGGAGATGTAACTTTATATAGTTAAAATTTTTGAAGAGGAGAAATAATAGTACCAGATTTTTCCATTAAGAAATTTTAGTTTCCAATAAAAATTTTCCAAATCGAAAAATAAAAACATATGAAATAAGGTCATAAACCTGATTCTTGAACTTAAGTGTCAGAAATGAGATAGTGTGGTTATAGCATATTCTTCTTCATCTACATGAGAGAAAACATGCAGCTTGACCATTTATCCCCTTCAGACATAGAATAATCTATGTAGCTGCTCTAGTCTCCAAATTGGTGCCATTTGGGGAGAACCACTCAGCACTCAAATGTTCCACTACTTCATGAAAAATAATGTTACATAGACCAGCATTCTTTGTATCTGCGTTTTGTCATTGTGTGTGTGTGTGTGTGTGTGTGTGTGTGTGTGTGTGTAAGGTAGCTAATATATTTATTTGATAAATGGAGAAGGAATTAGAGAAAAGAAGGAAAAGAAAAGAAGCTAGGATTTTTTGTACTTCACTAAAACTGGTAAAATGGGGATATCAGTAGGATCTCTCTCTCTCTCTCTCTCTCTCTCTAAAAAACAAAACAAAACAAACAAAAAAGTATGTTCTCCTTCATATGTGGATCCTAGCACCAAATCCTTATGAGAGAGTATGTTATCACACATAACTACAGGAACCAGGATAATGAAAAGGAACCAGGGAGGTAAAGGAAAAGAAAAATTAATTCAGAAAGAAAAATGAAAACAGTGACTACAGGTCTAGAATATCATTGATTGCATTAAATATAAATGGTCTGAATATACAAACAAAAAGCCACAGACTGGTAAATTAATTGCTAAGACTTAAATACTTGCTTACTATAAGAAAGTCACTTCAAATAAGCAAGGCAGGTAAGTTGAAAACAGTAAATAGAACAAAGAGAAGCAAGATTAGATGTTAATCTGATATATGTAGATATCAGAGATGATAAAATTGTAGGAGATATAAATGAATATTTTACGACATTTTTAAAACTCAATTTACCAAGAAGAAATAGTTTCTTTAAAATGTGCATGCATCAAAGAACAAAGCTTTAAAATATGTGAAACAAAGAAATCACAGAACTGAAAGAAAAAAAATAGTCAAATCCACTATGATAGCTGGAGACCTTAACACTCCTCTTTTGACAATTGATAGTATAGACTGAAAATTATCAAGGACTTATAAAATGCCAACCTGCCATTATCTATTAATCTAACAAACCAGTAGCCAATAAACATATGCAGACCACCTTATCTGATAACATCAGGAAATACATTCTTTTCAAGGGCATGTGAAACATATATATAGCAAGTTGGCCACATCTTAAACAACTGGGGCTGGAAAGATAACTCAGTGGTTAAGAGCAATGGCTGCTCTTGCAGCACACCTGGGTTCAATTTCCAGCACCCACATGGCAGCTAACAACTGTCTGTAACTCCAGTTCCTGGGGATCTGACACCCTTTTCTGACCTTGGTTGTCACTGCATGACCCGAGTGAGCTTGCATACATGCAAGCAGTGCACTCATACATATAAAATAATAAATAAAAACTTTAAAATTTTTTTAAAGATTTATAAAACAACTGCCAAATTATTTTAAATGATTTAAAGGACTAAGAGTATGTTCTATTATCTCATGGACTGAAAATAGATACTCATTATAGATGATAATAGCAAAGTTTCTGAACATCTAGAAACCAAATGACATGCTCCTTCAATCGAAGAAGAAATCTGGAGAAAATAAAAACTGCATTAAACGGAATTAAAGTGAAACACAACATACCAAAATCATGGAAATTAAAACCATAAAAGCAATAGAGGAAAATAAGTATGACAAATAAGCAATTTTTTAAAAACTCAACATACACAAATTAACAAAGGATAATGTTACACACCCTCGAGACCAATGGATAGTAAGGAAGGAAAGTGCTATATACACAAATTTTACCAAAACTTACATAAAACGGACTCATTCTTTAAAAAGAGTTAACATGCAATGCAGTTCCTCTCTATTATCATACACACATGTTGGGTAAATGCATCCTCTGAGGAAAAGGCAGCATGGTTCTAGAGACCTAAGCTTAGAAACAGAGTGCACACTGGGAAAAAGAGGAGGAGTCAGCACCATTTTGGGAGCAAGGTGCATGGTCTGAGGGGTGAGCCAACGCTCGGATCGCTGGCGAACTTCAGGCAGGACATGGCCCCAAAGAGAGGCTGTGGGCAGATCTCAAAGGTTAGCCAAAATATAGAAGATGGACTATGGGGTTCATGTGTTTGTAAGCGACCCTCTAAACTTTGTTGGCAAGCACAAATAAATATTCTTATTCCTAAACTGCAATTTAAGAGGAACATTGTGATGGTTTCCTTACAACAGCTCTCTGTGGGATTCCAGAGAGGGATCACAGGTCTCTCAAGGGAAAATTTAGTGCAACAAGATGTGAATCTAGAGTAGTATAAAAACTGAAAGTTTAAACATGAACAAATGTTCCCCAAATATATTTATGAAATACAGTAGAAAGCCTTGTATTGGATAGATATTTACACAGCAGCTTTCCTGTCTAAAAAGTGAAAATAGCTCCTTTTTTGGATAAGGGTTGAGGACACTAACTGGAGATGGTGGCACTGAGAGACGGTACTTAAAGAGACATTAGGAATATATCACATAATGTCAGCAACTGATCACTTCAGGTGACTGCAGTGATATGAAAGGACACATGATGTGGGTGCAGACAAGAACGCAATGAATAGACTCAGAGTGTGAGTAGCAATAACTACCATAAATTGCGGAAGTTATTTTTCTCTGCCTGTGCATCTTGCTAGAAATCAATTTTGTTGACTTTTTTCTAGTCTTCACATAATTTACCTCTGATGTTTAGATTTTATGTTAAATATTCACATTAATAGAAGTGATAGTTAACAACATCCTCAGTCATGAGTGCTCAGTCCTAAATGAGACACCTCTATCAACTCATAACCCCACTGAGGCCCATGGAACATCACAGAACAGGAGGCTGTTGTTGTTAACTGCCATATGGGTGTTAAGAACCAAATCCAGGTCCTCTGAAAGAGCAGCTGCTAGTACTCTTAACTGTTCAACCATCTCTCTAGCCCCCCGTATTGATTGTTTTAGTTATTTTTAAAAATTTATGTATGTGAGAATTTTAGCTGAATATTTGAAGTGTACCATGTGCATGCAATGCCCATTGAGGCCAGAAGGCTTCAGATCACCTGGAACTGGAAATGTGACAGTTGTTAGCAGTCACGTGGGTGCTGGAAATTGAACCCACATCCTCCATAAGAGCAGTCAGTTCTTGTCACCTGTGAGCCATCTCTCCAGGCCTGAATTTATTTATTTTTACAAATATTTAAGGGCTGGAACAATTGCTCATTGGGGAAGCTGCTCAACCATGAGATCCTGAGTTCAGATCCAGCAGTCATATAAAAGCCGGGTCCAGTGTATGCATCTGCAACCTCATGCTGAGAGGATAGAGACCTGTAGATATTGGAGCTCATCCACTGAGTGAGACCCTATCTCAAAAAGTATTGTGAAGAGTGACTGAGCAAGATGCGAACATCAACCTCTGGCTTCCACATGCATGTGTACTCACACACCTACATGAACACACACACACACACAAAATTATGTTTGACATAAGCAGCATATACTTGGAGAAGCTGACTCTATTCTGACTCTCCAGGTTAACATCATTACCCAGATTCACTGAGTTTCAAGTACAATGAGCCTTTATTTCTTGGGCTATCTCTGGAAGCATGACATAAGGCCTTTGTGTATGCTTTTTAACTGAAGCGCTTTTATAGTCTTCTCTTTTCCCTCACTTTGTTAAACCTAATTTATCCTCCAAATCGCAATTCTAGGTTCTTTTGCTCAGTGACACTGTCCCTGATCTCCTGATGTATCTCTTTATAACCTAGTTACCTACCAGCTTGACATATGTGTGTGCTATCTCTCAAATCAATGACTGCCTCTCATTGTAGTCAAAGAATACGCAGAACATCATCATCAGAGAATGGTTTTCTCTAGACACATGATTAATAAATATTCTGAGTGAAGGAAAGCATGAATGAGCTCAAATAACCCACCTATCAGGGTCCTCTGCTCCAGCATCCCCTGACACACAGTCACAGACCTTTCTGGATGAAGTTGGTAGACTACGGATGAAACATTAACACATCTGAGAGAAGCAGGCATCAAAGGCAGTGGAGGGAACTGAATGGACAGAAGCAAGATGACCAGTTCTGCTCCACATTAGGAGACCAGATCCAGAATAAGTCAGAAAGATAGTGTCAAAACTCTTTTAAGAAATTATGCCTTCATTTGTATAAGCCATTTGTGAAAGGCATTTCTTTGAATACGTCAGTGTTAGTCTTGTTCAAACTTTTGTCTTATTTTATTACATACCTACAGTAAGGTCTTACAAATTACTGTTAATAGGAGATGAAGAAGAGGAAAGTCAGGGTCTTTAAACTTTGGTTAATTCTTAAGATTAAAGAAAACATTTCAGCACTCTTGCAGAGGACCTGGGTTTGGTTGCAAGAGCTATGGATGGTTGTCAGCTGCCATATGGGTGTTGGGAACCAAACCCTGGTCCTCTGCAAAAGCAGCCAGTGCTCTTAACAGCTGAACCATCTCTCTAGCCTTGAGATTTTTCTTTTTAAAGAAATTTCTCAATTTGTGAATTTGAGAGAGTAGAAATGTGCAAGAAGCCATGGGATGGGGGGAATCAGACTGTAAGAGGATTAAGCAAGAGGGAAAAGCTG